CTCTCTCTCTCTCTCTCTCTCTCTCTGGCTACATCTGCTCTTTCTTTAGATCTTGGGAAAGAGTCAGAGACCACATACTTTGCACACAAAAACAGATTTAGTATTGAAGATCTCCAGAAATGACTAAGCAAAATCCCTTCCAAAACCTTGGATTGCTATTGCTCTGTAGTATTGCTGTGTTCGTGTAATACTAGATCAGTTAAAGACCCAGCAATTGTATTTTTATAAGCTTGATTAGTTTTACCTTTGGGGTGTATCCGTGTTTGTCTGCAAGTTTCCTAGATGTTGTGGGAATCCAGCCCATGTGCTTCACTGTATTTGCAAACTCAGAAAGTGAATGAATTTGGTAACTAAGGTAGACATGTACAAAATGCAGTTGGTGATGTGGAGGATATCCATTCATTCATTCAATTTTTATACAAGTAGCCCTCACATACCAACCACAATTGGGACTGGCAACTCCATTGCTAAGCATCGCAGTCATTAAGTGAAACATCATCTGACTGCCAATTCATGATGTCAGTTCTGGCTGCAGTTGTTAAGTAAATCACCATGGGTCATTGAGTGTGATGTCACATGACCACGACTTGCGACTTCCTGCCGGCTTCCCCATTGACTTTGCTTGTAGGAATATGGCAGGGAAGGTCATAAATGGTGATCAATGACTGCAGGATGCTGTGACCATCATACATGCATGCTGGTTGCCAAGTGCCCAGATTGTGATCATGTAAGTCGTAAGTGTCCTTTTTCAGTGCCATCATAACTTTGAATGGTTGCTGAACGAGTGGTCAGTAAGTGAGGACTACTTGTACTGCTGAATTTGCTAGGGCCTCATGTCAGTCTGCACTGATCCGTCTTTTATCTCTTTTCACTCCAATGTGTTTTGCAATGACATCACGTAAGAATTAACTTTCCCAACAGTTTGGCTCATTAAGGATATATTTCCGTAAGTTAAATAGCAGCAAATCTGAGTTTGCAACTCAGTACATCAGAAAAGGGAACTGTAAGCCAGTAATGATCAATGGATCAGTTTATGCATTCAAAACAAATGTCTAACTTATTCAAAGACTGCTTTGTTGTAGATATATAATGGTGCACTTTAAAAATCATTAATGTATATGGCTAAATATAATGTGTAACTTAATGGAGTTTCAGATGTATAATGGCAATGAAATATGCCTGGTTACAGTAGGACTGAGATATATCAAATCAGATATGACATAGGGAAAGTGGATGGGAGATGGTTTTCTCTGTTTCTCACAACAAGAGGACCTGGGATCATCCATTGAAGCAGCCTGGAAGGAGACAAAAGACAATACTTCAATACATAACCCATAATTAATTTGTGCAGTTAATTACTGCATGGCATGAGGATAGCTACCAATGGAGGTGGCCTTCAAAAGAGATAGAAGGCATTCAAAAAGGGCAGGTCTATCCAGGGCTGGAGGATCTTGGAGACTCAGTGCTACCTCTGGGTTGGGGGCAGCATGACTCCAAATAGTAGTTGCAAGGAAAGAACAGTGGGAAAGGAGTAGGTCTCTGTCTCCTGTATGCAGGCATCCCAGTAACATCTGGTTGGCTACTTTGAGAGACAAGTGGTAGGCACTTCCAAGTGGGTAGAAGCTTTAGAGGTCCAAACTTGAAATAAGGAGGAATTTCCCGACTGTGAGAGCTGTTAGGTAGTGGAACAGCCTCCCTCCAGGAGTCGTCAGTGCTCCATCACAGGTGATTTTCAAAGGTTGGACAGCCATTTGTCTGGGATGGTCTGAAAATTCCTGCTTTGGACAGGGGTTGGACCTGAAGACCTTCAAGATCCCTTCCAATCCTATGATTCTATGACTAAAATGGGTCTTGGCTTGATCCAGCATTCTTATATACTTAGAATGGAAAACTAGCACTAACTTTTCATGTCCTGGATCTATAGAGGGGAGAAGCAACATAGAACATAATACAGGTAATCTCCCACCCCATTACTAATATCAGCATTTCTCAACCTTGGCAGCTTGAAGATGTGTGGACTTCAACTCCCAGAATGCTGGCCAAGGAATTCTGGGAGTTGAAGTCCACACATCTTCAAGCTGCCAAGGTTGAGAAACACTGATACAGATAATTACCTGTAGTTGATGTATCTGTGCTTTTAAACGATAGCAAACTAGTAGATTTTTGAATTGCAATTCTTTAAAAGATGTTCACCATTTTGAAACACAACAACTGCATTGGCTGATGCTTCCCTTAGACGTTTCTGTTCTGTACTTTTCTGTCAAAGTAGTTTCCATTGCTTCTCCTCACACAGAATGTAAAGATGGAAGTTCTGCCACTAATCCTGTTATCGAGACCAAACTATCTCTACCACCCCCCAATGTTTTCATAAGACAACTCCTTTACCATAATGAACCCTTGCAGATATCTTGGCTCTACAACTTGAAAGACTGTTGGAATCCACTTTCCATCTCAGAAATGATCTCGAGCCTGTTGCCCAATACTTCTTAGTAATGGCAGGTAGATTATAAGCCTTACTGCACACCTACCTTGTTCAGAAAAACAGGAGCCTGTGATAGATTACATGAGATAAAAACAGGCTTGAGGCAAATACGGTTGGAAAGGAACGGGAAAGGATTAGAATTAAGCAGGATACCTAGAGACATTAATTCAAGATGAGTGGCTATATAAATTGAACTAATAAATAAATAAGGCGGGTTCGGTACATATCAGAGTTGGAAACTACAGACTGGTAATCATGCTGTAGGTACCAGTACCCCATCCAAAATTTGGGTTCTTCTATACTTGGAGTCTACATTTCAATTTTACAGGATTTTCAAATCAGAACCAACTTTCAGTAATATGGATAGAATTTATTGTAGCTTATAATCTCACTCGGTGATCTATACCATTTTAGATCATAGTTATTGATATTCCTGCTTTGTTTAGAGCTTAACACAACTGATACAATATATTCAATAATATACTGATAAACTAAAACTTCCATGACATTTGTAAATCTAGTTTATTCATTTGTATATTATTCTTTTATCCTGTTTGTTTCTTTGTCTTGATTCTTCATATGCTGTTCATATGCTCTTCAGATGTTTCATAAAAATAAATAAAATGTGCTTATGAACAAAAATTAGGCCCATCAGAACTCCAGTATTTGGATTAAATCCAGAATGTTGTAGATGTGATCTTCAGGTTCATTTTGCTGAAGAAGGAATCATGGGATATTTATAGTGTTACATCACTTGACAAGGTAATTTCCAGGAGATATTACGACAAATGTAAACTACACAAAGGCTACACATCCATGTTTGCATGGATCTAATCATGCAGATTGTCAAGAGTCAAGAATAACTTGAAGTACCAAAAAAAAAAAAAATGAGCAAAACTCTTTGAGAAATACTTGTCAAGGATCTTTAAGTCATGGTGCACCATGACCAAGACTGAAGCATAGAAATGAAGGACAAGCAATGGACAATTGGCAAAAAATTGTCAAGTATATTTTTTAATGAAATGTTTGGCAAGTTGCATGGTGATAACCTTCAGACTGAATTAGTGAGTGTTTCCAAAGAAAGCAATTAGAAGGTAACAAGATGAGGAGGGATACACAATGGAGAAAGAGGCCACTGCAAATTATGAGTAGCAAGAATTATATGTTTGGACCACACATTGCTATAGACTGCATGGCTAACTTGTTTGAAAATGAGAAAAAAATGATACAGAGAGTAGCTAGAAGAAGTAGAATGCAAATATTCTCTCTTTTGGAGTAAAAGAAAAAAGAGGGTCTTCACTGGCGCATACAACAGATCAGGGATTTGCCTTTTCCTTCCAGGTGACTGAATCACTGATCACTCAAGATTGTCCTTGAGCAAATCTGCAGTGGGCACTAAGAGGAAATGAAATTCTTTTAGATTCTTTAGAACTTCATCTGTAAGTTTTTCTTGGCTACAGATGTGGAGGGGAGAGTCCATAGGACTGAATCTCCTTGGAAGTTCTGGCTAAACAAGAGTACAAAACAATGAAAATTGGAAGTCAGGAAGAAGCAACATGCAGAAAAAGATTAGGGGAGTGAGCAAAGCTAACTAGCTAACTTAGGAAAGGGGTCTATTGTTGGGTTAAAGGAGTCTCATACTCCTTGGAGATGCTTATTATGAAGTATTTTCGAAACCTACATTTGAGAAAGGAGCTTTTTCTTGGAATCAAAAAAAAAAAGTGGGGGGAGGAGTGGGAAGATTTCTCTTGGATGGTTTGATAGTTTTAAGAACCAGTTAGAGTAGTGTGTCTCAACCTTGGCAACTTTAAGAATTCTAGAGGTTGAAGTCCACACATCTTAAAGCTGCCAAGGTTGAGAAACACTCAACTAGAGAATAAGAGGTCCAGTTCTCCTGGTGGTTTTATGACTCTTGCATTCTGAACCCAAGTTACTTCTGCCCAAGGGTGATTGCTAGTACATATTGCAGATGTCTCATCCTCTATGCCTAGATTTTTCTTTTCATATCTTCTCAAAGTACTTGGGAGATACTTTAAAATGGCAAGGAAGCTGAAGTAACCTTTGTATCTTCTTCTTGCAGATTCACATGGAATCTCTGATGAGGAGGGCTCCTCAGAAGTCTTCTTAGCTACAGATAGCGATTATGACTCCAGCAGTGCCCAGAGCCCCCGAGAACTTGACCTCGTTTACTCTTCTTCAGGGCCAGAATGCTGTAGGAGAAGAAATCCCCGTCCTTTGAGGGAGAGTGCCCCTGATGTCCTGCAGAGTCATGAGCTCAAGACACCCCCAATTCCTCCTAAGGAGTCTCAGCCTCCCCCAGAGCAATACGACAGTGACTTTGTGCTTCCTAGCCGGCAAATAGAATTGCTGCGCATCACGGAGAAAAGGCAGGCCTACTGTGTCCGGACCAGCAGTTTGGATTTCCCCAAGCCCTTCTGCCATGGAGCGAGGAAGTCTTGCCCTGGCTCCGTTGACAGCTCACCGACAGAGAGCAGGACTGCAGGCCACTGTGGCCCTGTGCAATCTGGGACAGGTTCTGCTTTCAGATCCAGCCCTGGCTGGCACACAGAGAGTTCTGGGGCTGTATTTCGGACACGTTCAGTAGAGTGGACTCACACCTTCCAGGAGACATCCGAGCTGGGACACGTAGCAAACCGGAGCAGACTGCCAGGTTCTTTCATCTTACGTGTGTGCGCTCAATATGAAACGGGGCTTTCCAAAGAAACAAGTGTTAAGGTACCCTTAAATTCCTGGTTCTGCCTTATCAGCATAATGGTGCAATATTGAGAACGAAGGAAATGCTTGCGAGAAAATATCGGAGCATTCCTATCACTCTTACTGTTCCTTTTAGCTTTGGGTCTCCTCCCCAGGACAGGCAAACATAATATCAGTAAGCCAGAAAGAACAGAATTCTCGTAGTTTCACGATATGGTCTGAGAATACATCTAGATGTAGTTCCGTGCACTTCAGTTTCTGCTTTTCAGAACGTATTAGAGAGAGAAGCCAAGAATCTACATTGTAAGAATGGACATCTTTTTGGCAGATTTTGGATCTGACCCCTGCTCTGAAGACAATACAGCCCAGGAATGAATTGTGGAGAAACGAGGGCTATGTTGCATAATTATTAGATACACATCCACCACAGTAAAAAAGAAATCTCTCCATAGAGGCTGTCTATCAGTAGAATCAGCTTACTGTCAAAGAAGAATCATGGCCTGGTTTTGCTAAGATAACATCTCATGAACTATTCCCATGCTGAAAATTCTACGTATTTTCTCTTTAAGAAAATGATCACTGCTTCCTGATCAGTCAAGTTCAGTTCTTGAGATTCCCAGTAACATTTTAATATAATTTGTAATTTTGTGAATTTGGTTATGGGTTGTGACTTCCTTAATCTCTGTTTTGGTGCTTCAACCAAGAGTTTCACAACGTATAAGCTGGAGTCAGATTTTCAACCAGGCTAGGCTGGTCACAGAAACTGACACCATGCATCAGACTTTCCCATGGTAGCCACAGGGTCTGACTGAAGTTTGTTAAGATGAAGGTAAAATAAAATGGTTAATCTCCCCTGCACGGGAGTAATGTATTGGTTCAAATGATGGACCGATAGCCATGGTATAATACCTCTTTTGATTAGGAATATGTGATAATCAACACAAAGTTTTCCTATGGACTTTGGTGATTGTGAAGATTTCAGCCTACTGGGGAGACATATGTTATTTTGCCTTATCTCCACAAATAAATTTGTTTCATATAGGTAGATATATAGGCATCCCCAAGGGGAGCAAATGTCATGTGCGTTGGGACGTCATCGCCAAAATGATGCTTTTGATGTAATTCTAGCTTCTACCATATTCCTTATCTCTATTATATTCTCTTGTAGGTTCATGACTTAGAGATGACTTCACTAGAAGAGAATAGAAATAAGGAATAGGAAACCATAACAATTGGGAGATTATCTTTTGATTTTATGGGGGAATGAGATTGATTAAAACAGGATTGGCTTTCCCAGACCAACTCAATTGACCCGTAGAGGTTTAGGGACAGGAATGGGGAATGAGATCTTTGGAAGGAAGATTTTAAACCATTGATGTCTGCCAAGTATTTTATACACCATCTCTCTAGGCTGAGAGCCTTCAAAAAATTAAGAAAATATTATCTAAATTTTAAAAAAGAAAAGGACATTTGTTTCTAACAGCAGTAGTGTAGCAGATCACATACGATCACATACCCTTTGAGCTCTTCTGAATCCCTAAATTTCTGTTATATATTCTGTTATATAAAAAACGGTTTTTTATCCAGTTTCGTGGAAGCCATTTGGCGGACAAATAAATGAAATACATAAGTGGAAAACCAGAGTGGTTTTCAGAGCCCAAATGAATGGTGATTGTATCCTCCAACTCATTCTCAATTGCCCTGCACCTTTGTCCAAAGGGTTTTCAGTCTCGCGCCACTTGAGTAGGACAATTCTTGATCAAGTCTGGGACAATACCTTAGACACTGTTGGCTGCTCCTTTGCAAAAGGAGACTATTTAGGAGGGGAAAATGAGGTTCTCATTTGATACATGTATAATCCAGGGAAAGGCAGCTTCTTGGGGAATATCCTCATCCTTGTGTGTCCTTCCTTTTTGTCTCACTTACCTTTCTTTTTGCACAGCTGCACCTCACTAACAAGATGTCAGCAGAAGACGTGGTGAAGCTGGTGGTCCAGGAGACGAACGAGGTCTCGCGGAAAGTCCTGGGAAGTCCCAATGCTTTTTGCTACAGTGAAGAACAATTGAGCCACTTTGGATTGGTGTTTGTATCAGATGATGTGGAACAATGGCTTCCAAACCATTTCCTGCCCCTCTCACTCCAAAAGACCTGGCCTGACGGGAGATTCTATGTCCGAATCAAAGACACTTCCCCTCTCTTGTTTCGATACGGCCCAGCTACAACTGTATGAGAGGAGGGAGAATAGAAGGAGAGAAACAAGGACCATCCAACTTCCAGTGAGCAGAAAGCTCATCACCAATGCTTCCTTCTGAACAGACACTTTCGTGCCAGACATTATGGGCCAGAAGCATATTGGGCAGTGTGTTGCTTTTGTATGTGTGTGTGTGTGTATGTGTGTGTGTGTGTGTTTTATTTTACCAAAGAGACATCAAGACCTGGTTATTATGACCTCAATAAGTGAGGGTGAAATCCAGGAGCCTTTGGGGGTGATGAAATTAAATTTTTGATCAGCAAAGAGAAAAGCTGGTTAGGGATAAAGAAGCAATATGTAATTATATATATATATATATATATATATATATTTTTCAGTCAGAATATTGTAGAAGAGAGGGAAGGGGTGTGTTCTTGAAAGAAAAGCCACCATGATTCTGCCGGGAATGGGCTCAGAGGTTTTCTTGGAGAGGGAAAGGGCTGTGGCAATCTCATAAATTATGTCCTGTTATCTGTTTCAGTTTCATTGTACTTGGAGAAGTAGAAAATTGCCCATAATTCCTTGAACAAACGGTTCTCTTTTTCTTAATTCCATCCTGGCTATTTTGTAAAGCAGAATATTGTGGATGTTCAAATTCTGTGGGAGGCTGAAGTCCTTTCTCTCTCCAAAATTAAGAGATCAGACTTTATCTCTGGGATAAAAACCTCTTCTTGATAGGAAGACTGAATCAACCTTTCATCTCATTAACACTTCCATTCTTAGAATGATCCAAGTTGGGTCAGTGGTAGGGCTGGTTGGTTTCTTGTAGGTGATGTTTTTTAAGAGCCGCGCTTCACTGTAAGACCTCGTGATTCCTTTCCCTGATGTATCTTCCCCTTCTCTCTACTTCTCCATGGGTTTTGGAAAGTACACACAGAAACAATTATTGGGAATCAACTGTAGGGTTGCTTTGATTAGGAATTACTTCATTTCATTCTGCCTTCTGTTACAGACTTAGTTCAGTGTTGGGGAGCGATGACACCCTTTTCTATCTCCAGGTGGGGAACTGAACATTATAATGGAAGCATCTACCAGACCAGCCAGGTTTTCATCTTTCATATAAGCAAGAGTAGCACTGAACAGGGGCCATTACAGCAACTCATGTAGACCCCACTCTGATTCTCATGGTGGTCGTTCCCCTGTCCCAGGGGAAGCGGAAAAGAACTTAGCAAAGACCCAGCACAAAGCACAAGGAGGTAACATTCATTCCCCATCCTCAACCTCGAGAGGGTGCAAGGATACCAAGGCCAAGAAGAAGGTCTCTTTGGATGACTACAATGAAGAGGGTACAGTCACCAACAGCAGCCGCAATACCTTTTGATTTGGTATTTCTTGTTCATTCTCATGATAAGTGGCACAGAATCTCTAAGGAAGAGGGGACCACATCCTGATCTACTCACAGAATTGCATAAATGCTTCTGGAAGAACACCAAACAGACCCTTCCTAATCTCTTGGACTGTGGGCTAAGTCTAAGTTCTTAAATGAGTAAAATTTCACAAAGGCAGGACATTAATGCTTCCCTTTTAGGAACACAAGTTCTAGCTCCCCAAATTATTATTATTATTTTTACTTGTTCCAGAAATAGAAACAAACTCCAGACTAACCCCAAAGACCCCAGTAGGGTTGCTCCTTGCTGTAAGAGAGTACAAAACATTTTGAACTCATTTGTAGGAGGCGTGCATTATAGAAGGTTGGTATCTCAGAGCCCTTAAAGATGTAATGAGTTGTGTAGTCTGAGAGACCTTCGAATTCACATCAGAGAGAAGTATGAGCTGCTGTCTGAGAACTGACAATAATAAATTGCAATGATTCCTAGCATATTAAAATCTACCTCTTCTCTATTATTCCATTTTGGTTCCATTGATATGGTTGATCTGAGTTCATTGAATGCTGCTATGGGGCACTGAAGTTTCCCTCAAAGACTTCAGGGACAGGTACTCAGAACTAGCTGTGCGATGATGAGCTTTAACCATGGATGTAAAACCACCTAATATTTCTTTCAATTATTTCCCATCTTTCCTCAATGAAGTGAAAGACATTGTCCGTATGATCTGAACGCGTTTCTCAGCCCGGGCACTGAAGAGATCTGACCTTATGTTTTAGTAAAACAATTTCATCCTGTGCCTTTCACCTATGCCCTGAGGTCCATTCTTGGTTTGCTGCAGTAGTTTACCACGATTAGGCCTCCTCACAGCAGACTCAGAGCAATTCAAGATCACATAGCCATCCTGTGGATTGTTTCTTTCTAAAATTGCTGTGTAAGTTGGAGCGTAAACAGCCACTTTCAGTGCTTCCCTAGGGCTTCTCTTGCAGTTGTTTTAATTGAAAAGAAGAATAGGGAGACAGGTCTCCATAAGAACCAAACAGAGGTCTCACTCCTGCAGAAGATTCTGTATGTGTTGCAGCTTCAGCTACATATTGTAATCCAGACTGCAGCGTTCAGTTTCAGATTACACGTGAAGGGGAGGACACAGTAATATTTTAATTACCACTCAGGGATCCACACCAGATTCTTATCATTATAGGTGTCATCCACTTTAGCGGCAGAGTTGATTTTCAAGGAAGATGGCCCAGAAACTCTGATCAAGTAAACAGCAATAGGCTGGCATTAAGGACACTCAGACTGGTGTTCGCCTCCTTCTGACTTCAAATAGAGAACAGAGAATGGGCTCATCTTCATCAGAGTATATTTTGTGATCAGAATGGAGTGGGAGACAAGACTTGGATCAGCAGGCAGGATCATTTTATCACCTGAACAGACCTATTGCTGGAGTATTTCAGCAGATGACAAACTTGAGGAACTCTGAAAGATCTCTTCCCAAATGCAAAAACCATCTATGCAGGTCTGCGCTTTATCTTCATTGTCCCCTAACCATGGCACGGTCTTGTTCCCCTCAATCCACAAACTTCCTGCATGCATGTCCTCCCACAGCTTTTCTTTCTCAGTTTCTGTAGCTGATTTGTGTTTGTCACACAGACCAATACTAGTGCCTTTTCTAACATGCAAGGCTTTGGTTTCCAGAACTGGGGCTTACAGCAGTAACCAGTACCTGGAGGTTGCCAAGCAGGGCATCTTCCATTGCTGGGGTTGAGACTTTATCTGCAACCCAACTGGTTTCAGATAGTAACTTAGAAGTAGAGCAGCACATATAAGAGCCATTGGGTTCTCCATCTTCCTTTCTTTTATGAGCAATTTCATTAACAGCAATACTCTTTCAGCCTGTTGGCTAAGATCAAGTGGAGTATCTATTGGAATGTATTGTCTGGGGGATCTGGTGAGTCAAGAAGAGCTTTCACGGACGCTTGGTGGTGGCTGCAGGATTGACTACAGAAGAGCTACAATGACATATTTTAAGAGAGACATTTTATCTCAAAATATTAGCTTCCCATCTCCCCATAACATCTTTCTAAAAAGGGAATAAAGAACTGGTCACTCCTGATAAGCCCTCTCTTTAAACTTTTAGCTAGGATTCTTCTAAATGTACTTCCTCTTCAGAAGCGTTCTCAGCAGCCATCACCTATGAATAGCATGTGCCGGACTTTTCTCCTAAGGATCAGTGTATCTTTTACACCCAGGTATCTACTGTAGATTGGATTCTTTGTTCCTGGGAAAGAGGAGAAAAAATGTACTTACCATAAATGATCAGAGACATTGCTCTATCCATTCCGAGATGATTGGAAACCCTATGAACCTCTATTACACGTTACTGCTTTATCTGTCACTTTTCAAATTCTAAGATAAGGTCTGTGCTTGTGGTCAGACTCCCCTTCTACACTACTTACCATCTTTGCTCCTGAATTTGGTGGTGAAGATGGGGACATGGTTTTATCTTCTGCCCATTCTGGTCTGGAAGTGACCAGGCGCTTCTCACCCAAGTGAGGTTGAAAGTTGAAGGCTTCTTCCTATCAGGAGGTGGTTCTATCCCATTTACAGTATCTAGACTCGCACTTTGTAAAAGAATTAAAATCTATGGTAACTGAAATGCTCCCCTTTAGTTTTGTTTTCACAGCCACAAAGACATCACAGAGATGTGTAGAAGATGATTTTGCTGTCAAAGGTGTGCTGGGAGACATCTGTTGTGACACTTGAGTTGTTGACTTTTTCCTTCCCCCTTCTCAGTTGCTGTTTTGTTTCTGTGATTGTGATTAGTTACTCTTGTACATCCGATAGCATGTTTTGTTGGCTGCTAGGTCTCTCTGTTAGCTGCTACTATTAACAGAACTGTGGTCCATAGTAAACACAGCTATGCTGCTGAGAGTGATCCCATCTTTCCTTCTAATGCCCTTTGGGGAAACATTTTCAGACTTTTGATCTGGAGATAATATTTTTGAACTTGGGTTGTGGGGAATGTGGTCTTGGGGGAGGGGGGAGAAGTGTCCATTAACATACATAATAGAGGATAATCCATCTCTAATTCAAAGACATAGGAACCAGATCAAGGACAGTGAGTTGGATTATCTTTTGAAGGACTGCAATTCAAAACAGGAAAAAACATGGGAGAAGGACCAGAAAATTAAGCCAACTGTAAGCATACAGACAGATCTTTTCCCCAAGCATGATGAAAGTTTATATAAAAATGAACTCAGCCCTGCAACTGGATCTTGTGTGTGTGTGTATGTGTGTATGTGTGTATGTGTGTGTGTGTAAATAACATCAATCATATCCCCTTTGATTCTCAAGCTCTCTTTATTTGTAGTTAAGGCTCCAATCCTGAAATGCTTTGTTGGAAGTTTTTCTCTCGGCAGAACACCCTGCAGGACTGGAGTCATGGTGTCTGCACTTAATGCCATCTTGAGAGGTGCCTGAAGCCATCTGCATTTAAATGTTCTTTTAAATAGCATTGCTGAGTACAGGTAATCCTTGACTTACAACCACAATAGGGACAGGAAAATGTGTCATTAAGCAGTGCAGTCATTAAGCAAGGCATCACATGGCCGCACCCGATTTTATGACATTTTTTGTGGTGGTCGTTAAGCAAATCACGTGGCTCCCCATTGATTTTGCTTGTTGAAAGCCAGCTGGGAAGGTCACAAATGGCGATCACATGACCCCAGGACACTGCAATCATTGTAATTACATGCCAAGTGCCCACATTTTGATCACGTGACTGCAGGGAAGTACAGCAAGTCACTTTTTTCAGCGCTATCGTAAGTTTGAATGGTTGCTAAAAGCTCGTAAGTCGAGGACTAACTGTAAAGCCATTAATGCTTTAATGCAGCAAAAAGCAGAACACAGCAATAGAATTAATTGCTACATTCTGACAGAACACCAGTCAGGTAATCCACTAGGGATAAATTGATGAATCTTGCAGAGAAATGCTGTATTACTTGCATCACAGTGGGCATCTTGAGATGTGAAACTACTTTTTCTTTCCCCTCTTTTTCACTGAACTATGAGAAGCGGTCAGAAACTTAATTGGAGCAAACCAAATGGGAAATGCAATTAGAAAGCGATTTAAAGTTTGTAGAAGAACTCCAAACATAGCAGTTGCCATATCAAAGGGTGTTTATATGTTACGTTGGCATTCTGCTTTTCATCCAAGCAGCTCACAGTATGTTTTGTGACAGCCTTGTGAGGTAGATGATGCTGACGTGTAAAGCCACGGATAAGGGCTGCTTTGAATCAAAGCGTCCTACAGCCGTGCCCAATGGTTTAGCTACTGCAGCAAAAGAGCTACCAATCTGGGCTGAAAAACTTCAGATGTCCACTAGGTGGCATCAAAGCACTCACCTTTTCTTTATTCCGTTGCTGCCATCTAGTGGTCACCTGGGGTATTGTAGCCCAGATCTTGCAACCCAGGTTAAACCACAGGTCCCATAAGACAGCAAAGCAAATCAGCGACTGAATGAAGATTTCCAGACTTCCAAGTTGCTGTCAATCGAAAGCCAAGCTAGTGTGCCGAGAGAACAAAAGAAATTTGTAAGGCTTTCTCCTTATAAATATATACGTAGCAAGGCAAGCTGGCTAAGGGAGAGCGAAGGTTAAGACCCACCCTTGCTTACTCTTCCCTAACGCACAAAATCATCTGCTTCCAGAATAGAGTTAAGCGTTGTGTGTGAGCAGTTTCTGGCGCATCGTCTATACAGAGCTATGCAAATGGTAAAGGGCAGTCTTTGATGGTGTCACCCCACTCCAGTTATTTAATAAATAATTGAAAATCAGTCACCGGGAGCATTCTAAATATTCTGAACTCGCAGAATTGCCATTTTGAGCACAGAGTTTGCCCTAAATTTCCTTGATTCATTGATCTGATCTGTGACTTTGTCTAAAATCTGTTTGTGGTGCTCATTTGAACTTTCAAATTTCTCTACTAAGAGCCAAGCCATCTTGATGACTGTAGCCTTTTTCTCTTCAGCAAGGTAAGAAGCATTGACGTGCTTCCCTTCTTCTACTGTAGAGTTTCAGGTCTTTCTCCTGTCGTGAGCTTTCTTCGGATCTGGCTCACGGGAGTGATATGTTTTCAGGAAGAACCAGCAAACTTGAGCCTTCTTTTTTTCATTTCAGTGAGGTGGTCACCAAGTGTGCAAAGCCTCATCAGTCAACATACATCTAGGTATTTGACACACCTAGTCAATTAAGGTGGCAAGAGACAAGGGCTAGAGATCTCTTAGATTATGACTCTTGTCAGACACTTGGGCAGAAGCAAAATCATCAAGGAAGACAAAGATCAAGGAACTACCAAGGAGAAAAACCACACCCTCACCAAAGCTGGCAAGGTAAGCTACTGTATATAAACAGGGAAGAAACCCCACATACTCACACTGGTGATGTTACCTAGTTGGGTAATGAAACACCTGCAAGCAAACAGCCAAGCTCAGAGACCACCAAGAACTCCACTGAATGGATGTGGCCAAAATACGTACAGATAGGCATAGAGAGCTTAAGGCAACGTACATGCCATAGCTCCTCTTTTTTAAAAATCTTCATCTTAGATTTAATACCTGTGGACACACCAAAGATTCCATAGAAACCTATGCAGAAATTCATGCATTATTATTGTCTTTAGAATGCATATGTATTATAGGTATAAAGACGTAATATAGGTATAAAGAGATCGAGCAAATACTGCTTCTTTTACATGGCTTCCTTTAACCAAGAAAAGTGAAATTTGGGGAAATTCCTGAACCTCCTAGACTTGAAAGTTTCTTTCTTAGACTTCAGCTGGATCTCTGGGTTATAGCTGAGAATCACAGTGGAAATCAATGAGTGACAAATGATCCGCTCAGGATCGCTTAACAAATTAATGACCAGGCTTAAAGCAGACGAAAATAGCTGACTACAAATGGCATGTTTGAGAGTATATGAAGTATATTTTGTCTCATTTCTGAACAACTATATTCTCTACCTTACTTGCAGTATTAAGAAACAAGTTTTATGACGTGATAGCCTGCTTCTGCCTAAGTTCTGCTTAAGTTTCAAATAGTTTTCGAGAGTTAACGGATCCTTTTTTATGGCCAGCAAACTATAGCTAGAGAACATATACTTACATTTTCATTCACCATGCCCCACTTCTTGATTTCCACCCACCAATTCGAAACAAAAACAGGGCTCCCCTCTGCTTGTTAACAAACTTCCCTTCCCTGCCAATTTAATGGTGCCAAGATATTAGCAGAACCACTTAGAAGCAAGGTTTTATGACAAAGTTGGAACCAAAACGATATCTGAGTTTATGCAAAAAAAAAAAAAACCCAACCTTTCCCACACCACTCACCCAGCACACATCAGATGCTGTATTTATTATTTATGACATTTTTATACCCACCCAAAGAGATGACTCCAAAAAATTTGCAAGTAACAGTTAAAACACATCCCCCCAAAACTAGCCCACCTCATCAAATTCTCAGCTAAACCCCTACATCCAGCTGGCATAAAACATTTCCTAAATAAACCCAAAGTCATATCAAAGACACAAACGGTTTTATTTTTAAAGGGGGAGAGTGAAAAGTCTGCCCGAATGAGTGTCTCTGCTCTTATTCATGAATTCCAACTGACCTTTTGAATACTGTCAAAAGAGCAAACACGAGAATCCATTGGAACGTATCCCCTGTGATGTGCCAACTGAAAATTTCACTAAGAAAAACTGGCCCCCAGTATAAATGGGCATACATCTTACAACCAGGCACTACTCTTGCTTTTTCATTAAAATACAAAGTGAGTTTAATAAACAGAAAACAAACCCCACTCCCTTCCAGCACTGAAGATGTTACTTAGACAGGTAACGAAACGTCTGCAAGAAAACAACTAAGCTTAGAGAACCGTAAGAACGTCACAGTGAGTTTAAGCCCATTTTAAACAAATATGAGTAAAATCACATATAAACCTGGCCTGGATTTTCATTATATAAGAACCGTACCCGTAATCATTTGATTAACACAGAGATACAAACATTTCCCTCTTCCTTCTTCCTCCATTACAACTGATTCCCAGAATCATTAACTTTTAAATGATCTTTCCTTCAGGATCCATCAACATCACAAAGACATTTCCTCACTTTCTAGGAGAAATCTAAAAATAGTTCTGTTTGCTTGTCTCAGTACGCTTAAGTCAACAGTTTTAGTTTTGCTGTCAAACATGGCCATCAGCACTTGGCTAAATGGTTAGTTGGTAAGCATTTCCCTAAGACGTTGCATTTTACTTTCTACCAAAGCGAGAGTCAGTTACAAAGAGGAATGAATACATGTTGCAATGGTGAGAACAGCATCCAAGTTATTCTTGGAACAAGAATGGCACCTGTGGTCTTTCCAAAAGAAGCTGGGGGGAAAATGCATTTCCCCGAGACCTCGGGTGTCCACCAGCATCGTTAAAAACCTAAGATGGGTATGGGTTCTTCAGTAATGTAGAATCTGCAGGAACATTGCAAGCCCAAGCTGAGGACCTTTGTGGTGGTGCTCCCTGAATGCGATGGCATTCAGTATGAAGTCATGTGAAAGTTAGCTTCGTATTCAATAAGGCTGCCTTGTAGCAAACTTCTAGCATTTTTTTTTTAATCCTCAAGCAAAGTTGGGAGACCTTAGCTGTACAGGAATGAACAGACATAGGACCTTGTGAATGGTGAGCGTTTATTTTATTTATTTTATACTTAACCTTATTTTATTTTTTAAATAGGATGGAAATACATGGAAATGCACACAGGTTTTATTATTATTATTATTATTTTTGTAGCTCTAACCTACAACTCATCAGTATTAACTTGTTGCGTGTCCATGTAATAAAAAGGGAAATTTTACAAAATACAAAGCATAAATGGGAAGAGAG